TGTTTGCCTGGCCCGAATGACTCCGTAGACGTCAAAATTGTGTAAACATGACACCACACGCCATGGTTATCATAAACGAAAAAGTCGGTGTAGCCATCAACAAAAGTCGTGAACAAGAAAGATAATGTGGTGTTTACAATAGTTTCTGTGACAAAACTAAAGTGAAAATTGGAAAATATGCCATTGTAATTATTTAGCAAGGAGCTTAGCACCTTGTTTGTAATATAAGCGTTTTAGAAGCTGGCGGTATGAATAATTTATTACCACAATCTGCCAAATACTGTAAAACATGTCTTTTTTAGCTAGCATGTTATTTTAGCTAATCTGTAATTTCGCCAATTCAAGATGTCACTAATTTAAAATATAGTATATTCTCACAATGAGATTGTTGGCACTTTAGCTAAATTAAGATTCAGTTAATTCATGCATGGAGTAAAATTCGCTAAAATGGCATGTAGCTATTTAAACATGTTTTACAGTAATTCGTCAATTTTTTGTACAAGTGGTTTTGTGGTAAATAAGACATGGAACTTGTGAACATATTCCTGGGAGCTAAGTTTCAAATGTTTATTTGATTACAACAATAATTTTCTTTTCAGGATTTCAGTCAACAGCATTTGTATTTCGGGATGTTTAGAATTGTTCCTTTTTAAAATTCAAACTGTTCTAAATTTTTATGGAATTTTTGTTTATTATATTTTGACTTGAATAAAAAAATATTTACTACTCACATTGGGCTGGTAAGATCCCTGCCTTGAAAAAGTATGCAAATGACAGTATGCTAGACTAATGGGGAATATATCCACAGTCAAATTTGAGGCAATTTGGAGGGGATGTCTGAATGAATGTGGCCACCAAAATAGAAATGTCCTAAAAGTTTGTGGGGGGGGGCACACATGGTCAAGTATCGGACAAGTACACTAAGGTTACGATAATTGAATCATAAGTAATATAATCAAATACATATTTTTGTGTAGGATGCCGAATATGGTTCAAGTTCAGCTAATGTTGATCTGTACGATGATGTAATAACAGCTCCTGCTAGTAATGGGCAGGGAGTTGAAAATGTAAGTAATTTTTTTCATTAAAATTTTTTGTTTAATTACAGTGTCCTGTTTTTAAGGCAAATTGTAATTCTAATAATTAAAACTTTGCAGATTCACCCTCATGATTCAACTTATACCTTGCTTTAAAAAAAAACTTTCAATCCATGTTGACTAGGTTGATTGATTGCAAGCTTTCTTTGACAACATTGTACACACTCGGAAACTAGCTTGGAACCTGAAAAACTAAATAATTTTACAGACTTTAAGAGTTAAACTAGAAATTTACCTTCAAGCAAAGGTGATGAGGATCTGTATGTCAATGGTTTTCAATGAAAAATTATTTCCATAATTATAAATTAATTAGCAGTATACGTTGTTGCAGTTTTCAGATGGTGTTCATTCAAAGGCTCCTACAACTCCTACAAGTCTTCAAACATCTAGTGGCAAAAGAGTTTCCCTATATGTTGGAAATCTCACATGGGTAAGTTACCAGTTTTATCTGTACTCTAATACAAGCATGCGTAAATCCTTGCCCTTACTGTTTGCTACTGTTACCGTATCTAAGATAGCAGAGCAGGGTTGTTATAGAGGTAATTGGCCGTCCATCTGTCTGTAATTTCATTTTGGACTACCGATCCAAGTACTTTGATACTTAATATGTAGGTACCATACATGTAGATGAACCTCTTGAGAGTTGTTCATTTCATGAACATGTCTTCAATTTTCTATTTTCAGAAAATAGCTTTGTGATTTTATCAGACATCTGCTTGAAAACTACTTGCTTGATTGCTTTGATAAGATTTGTAACAAGATAACAATTGTAATCAGTGTTCTTCCCAGGAAAACGGCATAGAGTATCAGCTAATTTGCATAAATAAATTTGCTAAATTGGCT